CGGGGTATAGGGGGATAACAGCTAGCCGGATTTTTCCCATACACTTGAAGTGCATGGAACCCACATTTTGAAAATGTAAGAAAACTCCCCTAATGCATTTCAAAAACGTCAGAACGGCTCTTCCGTCATAATCCAAGTGCACTGAAGCCGCGGCATGCAAAATTGATTAGACTTGATTTGATTTTAGATTAAAACTGAAAGGACAGTATACATACACGTTTAATAATAAAAATAATTAGAAGATGGGGCGTCGGTGGCTTAGTGGTAGAGCAGGCGCCCCATGTACAAGACTGTTGCCGCAGCGGCCTGGGTTCAACTCCAGCTTGTGGCCCTTTGCTGCATGTCTCTCCCTCTCTCTCTTCCCCTTTCACACTTGTCTGTCCTATCCATTAAAGGCTAAAAATGCCCCAAAAAATATCTTTAAAAAAATAAATAATAATAATTAGAAGAATAAAGACTTTTTTGAGGACAGAGTGGTCCATAGTATACCACAAAAAACCCATCTATGTACAAAAATACGATACAATAAATACAACATATAAAATTATCTTTTAAAAAAGACAAGAAATACCCAACACGTCCTTATACAAATTCATAAATATGGACAGAATTCAATAAAATGCACCCAAAAACAAGCTGTAGAGCCAGTGGTCCCACAGTCGAGATGAAAACCTGACTGAGCTCAGCTCTCTGAGACAGAGAGCCTGCACATACTGTATATCAATATATAATAATTCATATTAAAGCAAGACTAATCTCTCAAGACAGATTCTGCAACTTAAAAAAAAAAAAATATGTATTTTATTTTTTCCGATGGATTTCCAGATTGAAGCAAGTGTCATGCCATCATTATAGGCCACGTTTAGTCTTTGTATATTGCTCTTCCTATAGGAGCACAGCACAGGTGGGCAGCATACAACGGGGTGCTTTCTTTACATCAACACATACTTAATTTGTGAGCAAGCATATTAGCTTGTGCATACAACTTGTGTCACTGTAGATATCTCTTTCATCAGATAAATCATTCATACATTTCAGACATACATTAGCAGACAGCAACATAAATGTAAACATAAGAACACACACATTCATACAAATAGATTTATACATCAGTCACAGTTGTCTGTAGCCAATCTACATTGTAATTTGCTTCCTCTGTGAGAATCAATTTCACAATTTTATCATTTATTTTGAAAGCAATGTTAATTCATTTACTTTTATGATAAACCCCATGATACTACTTGGTAAATTTCATATGCACAAATCTAAATGTGCTAAATCATCTCCCTGTTTAAAGTTTATTTTATTTTTTTGATAGATTTTAATCTAATGGAGTCTCAGGAACGTGATCAATAAGAAGTGTATCCACCATACATCATTATAATTAGCTGTTTGGTAATTTGTCTGCTGAATAATGATGTCTGCTGAGGGGGTGTGCAAAAAGGAGGAGGCATGTCAAATATTTTTTTAAGCACTGATGAGGGACGTACCTTTTTATTTTGGCTTAGTTAAGGTGCATACAAATTTAAATGGTTGTATTAAGTCTTTATTTTACCACAGATATTTAAATAAACAATGAAGGCAGGTTTGGAAGATAGGTTTTCTTTAAAAAAAATTACAAATTACATCAATTTTGATAGCCAGAAACTGTAAAAACAGAAAGTATCATTAGATTTTCACATGTCTGACAGTCCTTGGACATATTGTGTGCAACAAACACTTCCATCAGACAAAATTAATGATTAAAAAATTACCAAATGTGAGCTATAAAAAGTGATATTTCATCAAAATCACTTTATTTCTACTTTAAATTTGGCTCAGAGGATACGTTTTGAAAATCTAATGACTAATTTATGGTGGAGGGAGGGGCATTTTACATCAGTCACTCAGGGAGGTTAAACATCGATAAAAAATAATAAAATGATGAAGAAGAAAAAAAAGTCACAGCCCAGCCACCCACATCCTCTGATAAATAAAGAACAGTCCCTAACTTTTAGCTTTTTTCAACAAAGTTGAAATAAATGAAAATAAAGTTGAAATAAATACAAAATAATAATAATAACATAAAGAAGGAAAAAAACAGTCACCGCCCAGCCACCCACATCCTCTGATAAATAAAGAACAGTCCCTAACTTTTACCTTTTTTTTTTCTTAATAAAGTTAAAATAAATAAAAAATAAAGTTGTAATAAATAAGAAATAATAACATGAAGAAGAAGAAAAACAAAAAACGGTCACAGGGGCATTTTACATCAGTCAAAAATGAAGAAGAAGAAAAAGAAGGTCACAGCCCAGCCACCCACATCCTCTGATAAATAAAAACAGTCCCTAACTTTTAGCTTTTTTTTAAATAAAGTTTTTAAAAAAGTAAAATTTAAATAAATAAAAAATAATGATAAAATTAAGATAAAGAAAGAAAAAAATAGTCACACCACAGCCACCCACCTCCTTTGACAAATAAAGAACAATCACTAACTTTTACCTTTTTTTTCAAATAAAGTTTGAATAGATAAAAATAAAGTTGAAATAAATAAAAAATAATAATAACATGAACAAAAAAATAGTCACAGCCCAGCCACTCATCTCCTCTGATAAATAAAGAACAGTCCCTAACTTTTACCTTTTTTTCAAATAAAGTTGAAATAAATAAAAAATAATAATAACATGAACAAAAAAATAGTCACAGCCCAGCCACTCATCTCCTCTGATAAATAAAAAAAGTCCCTAACTTTTACCTTTTTTTCCTCAATGAAGTTAAAATAAAAAAAATAAAGTTGACATAAATAAAAAATGATAATACAATGAAGAAGAAAAAAACAGTCAAAGACCAGCCACCCATCTTCTCCAATAAATAAAGAACAGTCCCTAACTTTTACCTTTTTTTTCTCAATAACGTAAAAACAAAATGAAATAAATAAAAAATGATAATAAAATGAAGAAGAAAAAAAAACAGTCACAGCCCAGCTATTACCTCCTCTTTTAAGTAAAGAACAGTCCCTAACCTTTACTTATTTGTCAAATAAAGTTAAAATATATAAAAAATAAAGTTGAAATAAAAAAATAATAATAAAATGAAGAAGAAAAAAAACCAGTCACCGCCCAGCCACCCATCTCCTCTGATAAATAAATAACAGTCCCTAACTTTTACCTTTTTTTTTCAATAAAGTTTAAATAAGAGAGAAGTTGAAATAAAAAAATAATAAAATGAAGAAGAAAAAAAACAGTCACCGCCCAGCCACCCATCTCCTCTGATAAATAAAGAACAGTCCCTAACTTTTATCTTTTTTTTCAATAAAGTTTAAATAAATAAGAAAGAAGTTGAAATAAATAAAAAAATGATAACCTCTGATAAGTAAAGAACAGTCCCTAACTTTTACTTTTTTCCAATAAAGTTTAAATAAATAAGAAAGAAGTTGAAATAAATAAAAAATGTTAATAAAATGAAGAAGAAAAACAGTCACAGCCCAGCTGTCCATCTCCTCTGATAAATAAAGAACAGTCCCTAACTTTTACCTCTTTTTCTCAAAGTTAAAATAAATAATAAATAAAAAATGATAATAAAATGAAGAAAAAGAAAAAAAACAGTCACAGCCCAGCTATCCACCTCCTCTTTTAAGTAAAGAACAGTCCCTAACCTTTACTTATTTGTCAAATAAAGTTAAAATATATAAAAAATAAAGTTGAAATAAAAATAATAATAATAAAATGAAGAAGAAAAAAAACAGTCACTGCCCAGCCACCAAGCTCCTCTGATAAATAAAGAACTGTCCCTAACTTTTAGCTTTTTTTCCAATAAAGTTTAAATAAATAAGAAAGAAGTTGAAATAAAAAATAATAAAATTAAGAAGAAGAAAAAAAACAGTCACAGCCCAGCTATCCACCTCCTCTTATAAGTAAAGAACAGTCCCTAACTTTTACTTATTTGTCAAATAATTTGCTGCTGCTGTCTGGGGTTACAAAAGTTATTCTTGTGTTAATGCTGTGTTTAACCGGGCATGTAGATTTTATTTAGGTGTGGGTAAATACACCCCAAATGCTGCTATACAGGGTGATATGGGTTGGAAAATGGCAACACCAGTGGTCCTGTATCTTTAAAAACTGGCAGAGACTCTGTGGTATGCCTGGCAGCCGATTATGTAAGTGTGTTTTTCAGTGGGCGGCTCATTTGTCAAATGTAAAAAAAACTATGCGCATACGATAACAACATTTCTTAGTTCTATGAACTTATCTCACCTTGCTCGTACAGATATGGTTTACTCAAGTAACGACCTTAAATGTTTTGATACGGCAGTGTCAAAGGCAGACGAGGAATCATGGCTACAGTTAATAAATACACCAGAAGGGAACAAACTATGCATTTACTGCCTATTTAAGGATACATTTCAGACAGAGTCCTATGTACAAAATATATTATCAAGACAGCTTAGAAGTGCTTTCGCTAAATTCAGATGTGGAGTTGCTCCTTTAGCAATAGAAACTGGTAGATATACAAACACCCCAGTGGATAGACGCTACTGTACTTTATGTATTAATGGTTCCATTGAATCAGAGGCCCATGTTCTTTTACACTGTGACATTTATGTGGACATTCGCGCTGAACTATTCAGTACACTTTCTAAGTATATTGTTAATTTTAATGATCTTGATGATACAAATAAATTGTGTGTAATTTTAGTTGGTAAACATTGCATCAATGAATGTGCCAAAGCCTGCCACCTCATCCTTAACAGAAGATTGTCTTTCATGAGTTCCAATTTATAAAACTGTTCTGTGTTTTGTTTTTCATGGTACTATAGTGTACGTTTTTATAATCTTTTTTATGATGTTTTAGTTGGTGTCTCACAACCCTTTTTTGAGTGATCCCCAACACTTTTTATTTTGTCAAGGGGGAGGGGGGTAAATTGTATTGAATATTGTATTTTTATTAACATATTCCCTCTGTCTCTATCTATCTATCTAATAAAGTTAAAAAATATAAAAAAGTTGAAATAAAAAATAAAGAACAGTCCCTAACTTTGACCTTTTTTTCAATAAAGTAAAAAAAAACAAAACAGTTGAAATAAAAAAAAAAATAACACAATGATTTTACAGTTATTGTGTCAGTCTTCATGCTGCCTGAAGAGTTTTGAAGATCTCAGTTTAGAGTATTTTACTTTTCCTTGCCATTACTGTCATATTAAACTGGCCGGGGTACGCCTCACAGCAAACCAAGCGCTCCCGGCCACAGTACCCCGCCCATTCCGTTACCACCACAGCCACGAGCTAAGCTAGCTGTTAGCCTGCCACTGTTGTTAGCATTGGAAACCAGTCGACCCAGAAGCTCCATCTTACAGTCTACTTATAAACATTTATTAAACTATTTGAGCACCTTTAAATCAGGAGGGACAAACTTAAACCCAGTATGTGCTCCGTCGTCGGACGGGGCTCGTGGCGTCGCAGTGCGCAACGGTTCAAGTTACCGTAGGATCCGGAGAGGAGGCTGGAGTGGGTTCGGTTCATTTTTGATTCAACGGTCAGCGACTTAAAGAATCGTCCTGGACCAAAGCGGGATAATGTCAGAGTCTCAATTTAACCATGTACGTAGTTATAAGAGTTTGGCGTGTTTTCGTTTCTGTATCACAGCTTGACATTAGCTAAGCAACCATGTAAGGTGTTTACACTAAAGGTAATTCAATACATCTCCATTCCACATATACGTGTCCCATACAGTTAACTTAATGTCACCAGAGGCACATATTGAAGACACACCCTTGACAGGACAACCTAGGGATTATTCACCTTGGTGCCTTCTTCTCGTATTTTTGTGTCTAAGTGACAGATGTGAACGACCATTTTTGTAATTGGTTCAGTATTGAGAGACAGGGCTGCAATGTAACCAGATGGGGCAATGGTACACCGTCACTGTATGTCCATTAAAGGTGGTATATGTAGCGGACAGGCTCGGGTTCTTAACATGATCCAGTCTGTTCGTTATGGTGTTTGTCCCCAAATCTCGCGAGACGTGGGGAAACCTGAATGGGAGTTTGAGAGAGTATTTGGACTAGTTTGTTGTGTTGGAGTGCAGAAAAGAGTTTAGTGTTATCTAAAAGATCAAAATAAGAGCAAAAATGGTTCGTGCTTGTGTATTTCCAAATTGCACCAACAAAATGTCCAAAAACAGTGCACGCAGTTTTCATAGACTACCTTTACTGGACGAGGACGTGCTGAAGTCGTGGCTCGTTGTGTTACAAATGGATCCAAACACTCCTGTTCATAAACTGCGGCTTGCAGACCATCGGGTCTGCAGTGACCATTTTTCCCGGGATGACTACTGCCAGTCAAAGAGGAGAAAGAATCCAAAGCACATTTTCCTAAAGAAAACTGCTGTCCCAAAAGAGGAGATACCAGCTGCAGACAGAGTGGAGGTAATATCACTAGCTGAAGTTATTATCTTGACCCAGCATAATGTGACACACGAAAGCATGCAGAATAAAGGCAAAACAAAGTGATTAGTAGCTGCAAAATATATACTGATTATAAAATCTATTGAAATCAATTTCAAGTGATGACAACAAGCAGACATTTACTGGGTAACTGATGCCAAAGTGTGTGTGCATAGTATAAAAATATATTTATACTTATTATATGGGCTATAAGACCAATTTTATGCCCATATTTTCGCATCCTATACATCCGGAGCTACAGAGATGCTTACTAGCAATGAGTGATTATGGTTATGTTAGTTATCCTTCGCCCCTATACGCTGTCTTTTCTAAATAAGAGAAGATGAGACAGTCATTTTAAGCCTCTTGCCCCCCCTCTGTGGTGCAGTGGTTAGCATTGTCACCCCACAGCAAGAGGGTTCCCGGTCCAAATCCAGGGTGGGGGAGTTCTCCCCTGTGTCATCATGGGGGTTCTGGGTACTCCGGCTTCCTCCCACAGTCCAAAGACATGCAGGTTAGGTTACTTGGTGACTTTAAATTGTCTGTAGGTGTGAATGTGAGCGTGGATGGTTGTCTGTCCCTATGTGTCAGCCCTGCCCAGGGTGTACCCCGCAACTTGCCCAATGTCAGCTTGGATAGTCGCAAGCCGCCTGCAACCCCAACAGGATAAGCGGCTACGGGAAATGACCGGCCTCTCCCTCTTTGTTCACTCTTTAATCACTAGGAGCTTTTTATCTGTATCTCAAATTCAAAGGCCTCAACCACATCGTCAAAATCAGCTAAATAATCTTCCGCAACATTTAAAGTCTTATAAGCTAAACTCACATCTCGTTAGATTTCAGAGCGAGCCTTCACCTAGATTGAGACTTAGATGCTTTAACAAACAGACTGGACCAAATGAAAGCTAAAGAGACGCTTCAGAGACTGGGTATAACAATCTGAGCCCGTCTGTGGCAAAAATAAACACTTTTAATGGACGTACAGCGACGGTGTACAAAGGCCCCATCTGGTTATATTGTGGTCTGTTGCACAACTTCCGGCTGCAGCCCTGTCTCTCAATACTGGATCAGTTTCAAAAAGTGTTGTTCACATCAATCACTTAGACACAGATACATGGGAAAATATCATGGGATACATGGGAGTTACACATTAATCACACACACAATCATCACAGTGAACTGTACAAATCAACATCCTTCATTGAATAGAAATTTGGCATCCCCCTCTCTCACAACATGTAGCCTATGTGAAATAAAAGTCATGTCCACGTTTTTTTTTAAATATTCATTATTTAGCGTGCTAGTCGACATCTTGTGTGCTTGTGCAGCCCGATTTAAATTCTGCTTGTACTGACAGGTGCAAGTTGCAAGAAATTTCGGTTTATTTCAACCTGTCACCTATTGTCCTAAATTTGTTTCAAGTGACTAGTGACATAGAAATAATAGTTAGCATGTTAGTCGTTAGCCTAGATACAGCCGGGCGCACCTAGTAGCGTCAGACCTGTTAAAACGTAAGTTAAAGGGCGTACCAGAGATATTGGATAGCTAAAGGAGATACCCCACTGTACGCTTATCCAATGTTAAGAAAACGATTACTCTTCCTGTCTCCCAAGGTAGGCGTGGTTACCACTCCCTCCAATCAGAGCCTGTTCTGCCCCCCTCCCCACCTCGTGTTGAACCGTTGAACAGAGGGTTTGTGTCTCGCGATAGCTTGTTTTCTGGGACGGACAGGGCTCAAACAAAGTTAACTTTCTCTTGATCTGTGCGGATGAAAAATGCAACTCTAGTGTCAGAATGTTTGTAAGATGTGTGGCTTGTGGAAAACGAACCCAGTCTTTACTTTAGTGATTACAGGGCGAAAGAATTAACCCGAAACTGTTATCACGTTCATTTTCCTCATTGACGGCAATACATTCAGAATTGCCACAAGTCTGACGGGGCATAGCGCTGATGTCACTGAATCAGGAAGTGAGCCGAGTGGGGTATCTCGCTTTTCCAGTATCTCTGGGCATACTCTTCAAGTGCAAAGTTAGTCCACTAAACAAGCTTTTTTTCCACAAAGACCGCCTCATATCGTTAGGATAAATGTCAGAGAACATATAGAAAACGACATGTAAACGTGTTGTCTTACCTTAACCGTGTGCTGCCGTGTTTGTTTACCATTTAGCTCTGCTTTCCAAAGCGCGGCCGAAATATCGCGAGAACAAGCAGCTCTAGATAAAGCCCAGCTGGTTCCGGTGGCAGGCGTTACCGGAGATTACAGGCAACAAGTCGGAGATCAGTTTGGCAAAGTAAAATGGTTCGTAAGTGTGCATTTCCTGATTGTGAAAACAAAATGTGGCGCAATAGGCGCAGCTTTCATCGATTGCCATACAGATGCCCGGATATAACGAAGTTATGGCTAGTTGTACTGAAAATTGATGAAAACACACCAGTCAATCCTCGCCGATCATCGGGTTTGCAGTGATCATTTCGATCAGGATGATTACCTACCGACCAAGGAGGGACAATCTAAACTTTACCTGAAGAGAAATGCTATTCCCAAGGGGATACCTGATGCAAACCGAGTGGAGGTAATTAGTTCAAATTTCTTTATTGATGTGACAAAACCTAGCCCTAGCCTAGGCTAATCAGTATTTAGCCCTACCTGTATCAACTCTATTTCAATAAATAGACGTAGCCCAAAGGGATTCGCTCTTTGTTTACGTCTGGCAGGATAACTTCAAAGCAGTCACACAATGAAATAATTTGTAGTTAAAAAAAAGTGAAGTAAAAAATCCGACAAAAGTTATGCACACTGTAGGAGCCCAGTAGTGCTGTTGAGGTCACAGACACAATATGATGACCACATGCCATGTCTCTGTTGCCCAGTCTGTGAGTTGCGTGTGTTATCCAGCTGCCCACATCTACAGGCTAATGTAGCCATTCACCATGCAGTTCTTCAGCAAATACATCATCCAGTCTGAGCACACACAGAGCATTCATTTATTTTAAGTCAAAACATGTATGTATGGTGCTGTAGGGTGCTCTGAACCCCAGTTTTAGAGGACTGTATGCAGCTTTTGTTTAACTGCAAGCTTTTACTTTTGTCATTTACTTAGCGGTCAACTGCTGCATCCAGGACGTGCTCTGTGGTCAGATGTGATTCATGGCGTCGCAGCGCACTACTGTTTAAGTTACCGGAAGATCCAGAGAGGAGGCTGGAGTGGGTTCAGTTCATTTTCGAAGTCAACGGGCAACGACTGAAAGAGTCATCCTGGACTGATATCACCATTTGTAATGAACACTTTACTGATGACTCTTTTGAAGACACGGGCCAGCTAAAGCTCAGTGCTGTCCCAACACTGTGTGTCAAGTCAGAGCCAGACGATTCCCCGGAGAGCCCACAGAATGAGGTGAGTCTGCTCAGACAGCTGTAGCATCTTTTCCTGTCCCTGTCCTACATTTTTAACAAAACAGCAGCGCACACATTTCAAATAAATCTAGGAGAATTCCAGGCTACATATGTATTGTTTGTCATGCTTATCACGAACATATAAGTGTATTTTATGTTTAGATGCCACTGTATTATAGTCTACAGAGTTAACTTAGATGCCACATAGCGTCTGCCACGACCTCATTTCAATGTAACATAACGTTAAGCAGCAATTGACTTGCACACTAACCTTGTGAGTTTGCTAACTGTACGGTGTATGACATTAGCACAGCTAGCTAACAATAGCAAGCTCATGTGGTTAATAGACAAGTTATTTGCCGCTTAATACAACAGTTATGGTTTGTCAAGATATTAAGGTTGTGTTGTTTATCTTGATGGAAGTCGTGTGGCTTAATGACACCACAACATGCAAACGTATCCTGATGATAGTCTCTGACTTAGGTCTGGGCGATATAACGACTATGTACTATATATCGATATATTTTCAAGCAAGATTTATTGTGTGCTTACACAACACAGTTTATTTGATATACCGTGAAGTTGCGTTACCTCTCACAATCTCCACACAGAGATAAAATACAGAGATTAGTTTTTGTCCACATTGCCCAGCCCTACTCTGGGCGTACACAATTCACTTCCTTCTCCAATCTTTGGTCCACAAAGGGTCCAACAGAGAGGTGGGCTTGAGCCTGGAGCTCTGCAACAAGACTCTTCTCAGTAAATCACATCCAGTCTAGTTGTAAATTAGTGCGCTAGTTAACATCTTGTGTCCTTGTGCAGCCTGATTTAAATGCTGCTCGTACTGACAGGTGCTTAATGGCAGGCTGACTCAACCCTGTAGTGCTGTTGAGGTGACACACACACAGTATGATGAGCACTTGGCATGTTACTGATGCCCAGTTTGTTAGCTGGGTGTCACTGCCCATGTCTACAGGCTGTTATAGCCATTCACTATGCACTTGTTGAGTGTTCACACAGAGCTTTAGTTAATTTTTAGACACAACCTATGTATTCATGGTACTGTGAGGTGCTCTGAAACCCAATTTAGTGTGTTGTTTGTGTGTTTTCTTTTACTGCAAGTTTTTACTTTTCCCATGTGTGTAGGAGCCCATAGAAGCCAAAGATGCTGATAGTCCATGTGATGACCGTCCACCTTCCCACTCTAAAAAATCAAGACGTACTGGAAAAGGAAAAGGTGAGAAACTTAACATATTGTGTGTGTATACAGATAAAGAGGGTATTTATTTGTGAAGCTAGGCTATTTCTTTACATGTGAATGTTGAACTTTGTTTACAGCTTCACAAGCAAGTGGTGTCTCAAAGTCGAATTCAACTGATGCTCAAAATGCTGTCACTTATGGATCTGACCAGATGCCACAAAAAGTCCTGAATATTGAGTTGAACAGGGAAAAGTGAGTTATGCTTTGTCAACAGATTTGCTTATTTTCTGTACCGTTGACTGCTATTTTTTTTTTTAAATTTTCATTCAAATTGGTTTTCAGGTCTGCGCTTCTACAGATTAAAGGCAAGTATATTGTGAATGAAAGCTGCCTCCTCCAGTTGTTCCGCCGCAAGTGCCCGTCGTGTGGCAATAAACTTCTGATGGAGAAGGTCACCTCTGGGGTGCTCATCGTCTTCACCCAAACTTGCCTGAAGTGTGACTACAAAAACCAGTGGAAGAACCTTGTCAATTATACTCTTCCTACAGCTGTGGATCAACACCTGACAGGAGGCACAGAAGAAACGGCAGAGACCAAACAGGTAGAACTTGAATTGTAAGACACACAACAACACATCGAGACTCTCTGAATGTAGTATAATGACCTCAAAACCTACTCTATCTTACGAAACTCCAGAGCGGGCAAGATCATTCTTTTTTGTTAAGGTTTGCAATCCCTCTGATCAATACAGAAAGACTGGGTTATATTATGATAAAGTATTATGTAGTATTTTGTAAACTGCCCTCATGCTTTGGTTGTTATGATTATGGCTGCGGCACAGTAGTTTATTATGGGTGTAACACGACCTACATTCAGGGATTGTGCTGGCTGAGCAACATAACTTCCTCACACTGGTGCGCTATCCATGTTGAGGTTAGGCAGCTGGAGTCAAGGACTACCATCACTGCACAAATGCCTGTAATTTGTGCTGTTTACAGTTGTTCCAATCGATCAAATTTGGAAAAATAAAGGTCACTTTAGTCCCAAAAATAGTGGGAGAGGTAAAAAAAAAACTAACTGAGAAAAAAACAGTAGAAGTGGATCAAAAACCTCCATTTTCAGTCTGGAGAAGTTGAGTCAACTCCTCCAACTAATGTCGGATGTTAATGTTAAAGCGTTGTGTTTAACTTCTCCACATTTTTAGCCATGACACAGAATTTTTTCCCCATACTTTTTCAGCCTCCCTAGTCCTCATTTCACCAGACATCTGGCAATGGTGAACCTAGTAATGTTATCCTGACAGCGATGCATCTGTGCACAGAGTTGAAATATAAAGGACAGTTATACTTAAGGACATTTACTTACCCAGCCAAAAACAAGATGGCAGTCATTTCGGTCGAGGATCCAACCACACACAAATGAGTTAAAGTCCTCTAGACTCTTTCATTGGCTTTCTGTGCAACATAAGATTAGGAGGTCTGGAGGACAAGGTAATGTGTAATGGCGATCCTTCCCACATTGGGCAAGTCAGTCAAGTTTTAGAAGAAATTTGCTTTTCTTTCGTTTGTATGGATCACATCCAACAAGAGCGTCAGTTTTTGGGTGATAGCTGCTGCCTGCAGGTTCATCCTTCCCTTTTATGTAGGCACATTCCTCAATTTCCAGTATTTAGATTTATCACTTCCTGCCCTGCATCTGAATTTCACGCGTCATAATAGTCACATTACTGCAAACAAGTTATTGAAGCAACTGTGCTCTAACCTTCTGCGGTGTATTACCGCATCCGTCATATCTGATAGAAGCACAGCAGGTTCAAATCCTGTGTGGCTTAATGAGGTTTTCTTGGCTAATGTTAACAGAAGCAGTAAAGAGTTTTCACAGTACATCTGTAGCTTCATAGGTTTAACAAAAAATAGGAACATCACAGCCCGGCAGAGCAGCTGCAGACGTGCTCACAGCCAGTGGCCGTCGGAGCTCATTCTTTTGAAAGGAGTAATGAGGAATAAATGCATAATGTAAAGTGTCACATCATCTCTCCTTTGGGTAGTGTCTCTGTGGAGAGCTTCCCTAAACTGGTGGCTTCTGGACTTTTCTCGTATAGTTTTCAGCTCAATTAGATTAAAAAAATCATATTTTTTCCTCTAGCTGCCTCTTTTTTTGTAATGTGGCTGTAATATTCTGTGCTGTATAAACTTGAAAAAGTCGTGCTAGGTTGTCATTCTTGTCATTGTATTGCTCACAGGAAATGCCAACAGACGACAACCCCAGCAGCACAGTGTTCTCTGAAGTTGTTACCTTTAGTGATGAAGAAAGTGATCCGTCAGATGAAGGAGAGGAAGGTGATGACGGTGGGGTGAGTTCCGATGGGGATTGGAATCCAACCGAGGATGTTTTGCTGGCGGAAGAGCTCACAAAGCATTCTGAAGAGGAAAGTGAAGATGAAGATGAAGACCAAAGTGGAGAGGAAGAAGAGTTTGATTCCCCAGGTGGCCTCAAAATTAATGAGCTCTGCACAGAATGTGGAAGTTTCTTCAATATTCTGAAGCCTCACACTTGTGAGTACAAAATAAAGCCCTTTTCCTGCAATATCTGCGGCAAAAGATGTGTTACCGAGACGTCTCTGAAAAATCATAGCAAAATCCATGATGAAACCTATGAGCATCCTTGCAAATACTGCCACGTTACCTTCAAAACGAGGGTGGACAAACTTAAACATGAGCAGATCCATCAAGATTGCAAAGAACCCTATAAATGTCCAGACTGTCCAAAGACATTTGCCAGCAGTAAAGTACGCAGAGCCCACCTGGCGAATCACAGAAGGGCCCCGAAGGAGTACAAATGTGGAGTTTGTGGGATTGAATTTAAGGATGTTCATCATCTGCGGAGACATTCTTTCGTGCACACGGTATTGAAACCCTACAAGTGTGCAGTGTGTCACCGTGGCTTCAATCAGTCTAGCCACCTGAAATCTCACATGCGTCTGCACACAGGGGAGAGGCCTTTTAAGTGTAAGCATTGTGAGAAAAGCTTCAATCACAACGTGAGCTTGAAGAGTCATGTCCAGCGTTACCACTCATCGACTTCTGGACATGAACAGAAGAAGGTTAAGATGGAAGAAGGGACCAGCGACACTGGTGATGCAGAGGACAGTGGGATTAAGAAAGGCACAGACTCTGAGTTTGACAATGCAGAAGAAGATGCAGGAGGGGAGGTGCAGAAGGAGGTAACAGAAGAGCGCAAAAGTAAAATGAGGACCACAGGCAGACCCAGAGGAAGGCCGAAGAGGGACGCAGCAGGCAACTTGATTCCGGCAGGGGAAACAGAAGGCTCACGTTCAAACACTAAGACTGCAAAATCAAAGGCGCAGAAGTTAAAGAAAACAGGTTCCAGCGATGAGGAAAGTGAAGACGAACAATCAGACAGTGACATATCCTATGACTCACCAGAAGAGGAGGAGGAGGAAGAAGAAGAGGAGGAGGAGACAGTGAAGAAGAGCACAGGGAAATCAATAGGAAGACCAAAAAATGACAGTGACTCTGATTTTGACCCAGAAGAAGTAACAAAGAAAAAGAGGTACAGCAGCCAGAGCAGCGGTAAGACCTCAGGGAAACGTAGGGGAAGGCCAAAGAATAATCCAGAGGTCTGAAAATGCTTAAAACACACAGCTGAATAATTTGTTTTGAGAAAAAGAAAGAAGCTGCAGAAAACTGGACTGATACATCTCAAAAATGTGGTAAAACAATTTGGAATATGAGGAAAAAAAACATTCACACAGGCCAACGTCTTTCTGAGGCCCTGCCTACACATATACAGATATTTTTAAAAGCTGATATTTTCCCCCCTCTGTTTTAAAAAAAGAATCTGTCCACACGATTTTTATTGTACAAAATATCTTCATACACACTAGAAAACAAAAGCAATTCCAGATGCTCATTAGTGTTGGCCTTCTCCCAGTCGTTGCAAATGCAGTAATATTAACAGGCTAACGTTACATTTTTCAAAACTTAGACTGGAGATCTCATCACCATTTAGTCCCTTTTACCATAAGGATAAAGGAGCTCACTCAAAAATACGAGTAATGCTCTTGACAATTGAAAGTTTTCTTTCTACTACTCATCAACAACAATCCCACTCTCAAAACTGTCCCACTGTCTGCTGGTTTGACCGTTCCTAATGATCCAAAACCACCGTTTCTTGCAACTTTATACTGCAGATGTTGAGGTTGACCAAGTAACATTGAACACCGCAGATACCTCTGTTCATCTGTAAAGTGGTGAAGCAGTACTTATGCAAGTGTAAAGTAGTCATTGGACCAAGCAGTGCTAACAGAACATAAACTAACATGTTCATTACACAAAGCAGCAGTGGGTATGCACAGTTTGAATAGTGGACGACCCACTCTTCTTCTGAGCCTCAGTCGCCCCCACAGTCGTTTTAGTGGCCAAAATGTAGAGGAAAATATACATTTACAAAAATATCTGTGTATTTGTTGACAGGGCCTGAATTAAATCATCTTCTACTGTGCAGTATTGGAGGGTCAGTCAGTGAATCGTTTGGAAAAAAATCAGATATTTCTATTGAGTTCGAGTGCATTATAAAAAAAAGGACTGTCAGAAAATGGTATAACCGTTGGGAAATATGTACTATATTCATGTATTATAAGAATAATGTAAGTTTCAAGCTAAAAAAACAACAACATTTATACCAAGGTCAGGGCACTGTGGCACAGCCACTGTTTCTTTTGTCTTTACTTATTCACTATAAAGCTACATCATTGTGTAACTTGAGTGATTTATTAGTCTGTAGAAGAATCAAAAAGTGTTCAGATAGCATTTCATTATTACATCTTTTATTTAAATAAATTAGTATTCCACAATTTTACCTGTCGGGTAATAGATCTCGATCAATGATAAAGTCCTTTCACACAATGCCTTTGAATTTATAGAAAAATATAACAGTTGGATAATTTTACCTGATTGTAAGTTTTGGAGTGTTGAAATGTTGGTTTACCTCTTGAGCCTAAGCTTCAGTGATAATCATTGTGGGCTCAGAGAGCAAGGACAGTGCCAATGGTTTTGTATTGTTTAGCACATCAGCTACAAATTGTTAACATTGCTGCTGAGCATTTTGGATTGTTTTGCTACTTTCCAGGTTGAAATGGGGCTTAGTTTTCCTAAAAAAAATGGTTGCTGAAGGTTGAAACTAGTTTGAGATACAGAATCTGATTCATGTGAGTGAAGAGAAGTTAGTTATGGTTTATCACTATGGACTGTTTTGAAACTCATCATAGGACATGTTTAAGGACCTCAGAGTCTGCTTGCACCTGTATTGGAACACAAGTATATAAGGAAGTAAAAAAGCGGTTAATAAAGAAACACATAAATATTGTCCTGGAGACAGTTCACTGTTTTCAATCAATCAATCAATTTTATTTATAAAGCCCAATATCACAAATAACAATTAGCCTCACATGGCTTTATAGCATACGACATCCCTCTGTCCTTTGGACCCTCACAGCGGTGTTTTAAATTCTCTATTCCAAGTATGTTTCAAGTCTCTGCAAGTGCATTGTCATACCGCACAGGAACTAACAAGTACATGATGTTAAACATATGCAATTTGTAGACAACAGTTTTGGCCTTTATGTGATTGCAGATTTTTACATTTGAAAAAAATTACAAATAAATGTGTCCAACTGCCATTGTGAGAGTCTGTCATCCTGCTTTGTCCGTTAGCTTACAGAGTGTGGTGAGGGAAAGGTTCACATTTCAATTAACAAACTCAGACAAACTGGTCCCCGGCCAACTCCAGTGGAGCTGGTGTGCGCTCGGTATCTTGCCAAAGGAGAGACTACGATTGAGCGATTGACTTTTTCCCCTAACTTCCAATTCGGAATTTAAATGGACGAGTGTTCAGAGTTCCCACTTTGATCGTAAAGCCTGAATGAATCCCCACGCTTACATGTTTATCCTCTTCCTCTTTCTCTCTCTGTGCCAGTGCTGAAGCTAGCATCATGGCCCATCAAGTTTTTTTTGAGTCTCCAGCCTGTTGCTGGGCAAACCCAAGGCTGCTGAGTGTGTTAGATATGCCGACAGTTTGCAGATCTAAACGTGGACTAATGTTTTGAGTACTGAAATAAACAGTGTTTATTTTGTCTTTTAATGAGCTGCAAACCTTAGTGCTATGAGGTTGCACTGACACACTTCACACAAATGAGGATTTGTGTACAAGAGGTAGTCGAGTCATTTTTAAAGCCTCTCATTTAACAGTTGGTGTGAATCAGGTGCTTGACAGAGTTTATATCAAGCTGAGTGTGTGTTTACTACAAGCTCTTAATTTTCAATACTACCACTCAGCTGTAGTTTTAATAAAGGTCAACAAGACAAAATGCAAAGTGAGCCTCCTGTTTGGTCGCATCACTTTGCCACGTATTGGGAAATGTGAGAATCAGTCACACACAATTTAAGACTTGAATTTTGTAGAATGATTTTGTCAGATTGTCCTTTGGCTCATGAGTCACAGAGGTTTGAAACTAAGGACAGAGACCGCTTGTAACTGATAATATGGTAATTTGTTCAGTGTGCATGATAGATTTATTCAGCAAATTATATTTTTCACTTAGCTCTAGCCATTTGTTGATGGTGCATCTTTAAGTGAACTAACAAGACAGAACAGTTTAATAAGAGCGAGGCATGGCGAGGCCTCTGAAATCAGCATAAGCTTAATTTTTGTTTCATGTTGTCGGTCACACATTTTTAGATTATTAGGTATCAGGAATCCAAGGAAATAGGAAGCATTGGCTCAGTAATAGCTTATTAAAAAACATTATATAAGTGATAGTATTGATAAGGTTCCTTTTCAGATTCAGTAGGTTAGAGATTGATAGTCACCCAGTTAAAAGTAATGTAACTTATTACATATTATGACTTTTCCAACAATGTTTTAAACTGGGCAAGAATACTGAAAAGTCCGAAAGACAGATTTAAACCAAGCAGTGTAGACCTCACAATAATACTCAACACTTACTACTGTCAAATAAAAGATGTTCTTCAATATAACTTGAAATAAGATTGAAAATGTGGTGAATTTTAGTTTGATTCAGTTTCTTTGGACATCAAGCATTTCGATGTTGACAGGCAGCATTTTTACTGCTAATATTAAAACACATTTCTGATTTTGGAAGGAAAATTTTGCTGAATTTCCAGCTCTGAAAGGCGGTCTTGTACAGCAACCTGGCCACCCATCTTTGTGTGGTAAAGCTGGGTTTAGGCATGGTAGAGGTGCACTGATTTGAGAGGTGGTGCCATTTCAAACAATTGATCTAATCAGTAGCAGCATTTAAAGTTAGAGCGCATGACGCCAAATGAACGGAGCCTGTCTGGACGTAGAGATGGCTCCTTGTACAGGGTGTCTACCGGTCTTTAAAAAGTCTTAAAATGTCTTAAATACAATGTTACATCAATAAGGCCATAAAAGTCTTTAAATAGTCTTAAATTTGAATGTGTGAGGTCTTAACTAATACAACATTTTATCTAATTTCATTACCATTGGAGAGTACTGTTGCCATTTTATAGATGGATAGACAGCTAACTTTATTGTCCACCTCAGTGGAAATGTTTCTTTGGCTTCTCTCAAAAATAAAAGGAACCCAATACACCAATTAAAACATACAATTTAATGATATATATATAATACAATAGTACAAATAGGCAGGCAGGCAGGGGCAATACATTAAATGAAGAGTAAAATAGTATTGTTCCCTGATACAGTCATTCTGTGTTCATTACCTGTATGGTACAGGGGATAAAGGACGTCATACATATGTTCCGACTGGCTCTAGCGACCCTGAATCAACACCCGGACAGGAGCCTCTCAAACTGGGAGTGTAATGGATGTGAGGCATCTGCATACCTGCGTATACCCTCCACTACACCACTGGATGTAACTCCAATGTAATCACCAACATTTTGTTTAGTAACTGTAATTTAAATACACTTTTTTTTGTCAGTAGCAAACATTACAATGTCATAAATGTAACGAGGTACTTCCCACCACTGATTACTGGTATGTATCCCACTGGAGATTCTTCAGTTATATCAGTAATATTGAAACCATGTTGGAACTGTTACAGCATCTGTTTGTCCAGGTGTCCATCACCAGGGTGATAATAGTGTCCTGCTAGTTACAGGAAGGCCACTAGATGTCCTCCTTGTCCTTCAGATAGTGACTCATTGTGCACAACAGTAAGTAAGGCCACAGCTATCTCTCCAACACAATTACTATGGTAACTGTTATTCCTGCAGTGCCTGAGCTGGCCTGTTAAACAAGTCTCTCTTTCTCCCTTCTATTCCTCCCCTCTCCTTGTCCTCTTCCCTGGGAACCAGTATATTAGTGCAGCATCTCTCCCACTCTTGTTCTCTATAGGTGACCTCGTGGTCTTGCAGCTATCCTAAGGCCACCCCTCAAACAGCATGTAAGTAATAAATAGGAGCTTAGACGCCCCCTCACAGCTGCTGAGGCTTGCAAAATTAATGTACACTGTCATTTTCTAACGCCACAAGGACAGCTATTTTCTCTTCTTCTTTCTATTTGGTTTTTATTAGGTCATGGCTGTATACTATTATTTTCCTCCTCTGTGTACTGGTATAGCTCTTCCTCTCTGCCTCCCTCTCCAGGTCTGATGATTTGAAGCCGGTCTTTTAAGATGTCAGTTAGATTACCGGTGCTGCTTGCCGTTGACCGGAGACTAGATTGATGCTTTTAGCAGACTTGAGATGAAGAGTATATTATGGAGAAAATAACTGTCCTAGCACCATCAGTGTGAGGATAATATTTATTTGGCACCGTAAATTTACTCAGTGAGATACAACCGACATGCCCAGCGTTCATTTCTTCCCGAGTCACAGAGACAGGAACATTAGGAGGATGAGGAGTAGTGAAATAATAAGAGCTGAGATTAGAAAGTCAGGAGTATATCCACAAGCAGCTAGAGCCACTTCTTTTATGGTTTCGGCATTTGCTTAAGAAACCAGATTGAAAATGGGTTTCTCACACGGGAACTCAAATGCCTACCAAATGTCATAAGCCAAACAGATAGGAATCCACCTGGGCCAAATGACATTTTCTCGCTTACCAATTCCCAGAAAACATCACTTCGTTGTTTACTGAAATGCACTCGGCCTTTAGACTGTTCTCCTTTTCTATCTCCTGTCTGTGTTTTTAATATCCAGTTTGTGTTTTTCAGGAGTCTGTATTTGCTCATAAACTATTTGAGCCTTTCGATATTGATGTCTGGAAAAGTGTAATATGTTTTTCAGTCTTATTGAGCATTTTTGATGTTAAAAAACCCTACTTAATGTAGTAATATATAATATCAAAATATATATGAAAAGACAGATACCACTCTCATATCTATGTCATATGAAGCTACATCCAACAGCTGCCCTGACTGTATCCACAGGTAACTACTTTACAAGTTATATGTTGAGTGTCTCTACAAAAAACTATACATTAGAAACAGAACATTATTTTTCATACTGTGGGATTTGTAAGGCAATAGACCAGATTTTTGAAGTGGTGTTGTATGAGGTACTAATCCATAGTCGGTGTATTACACACAGTAGATGTCAGTTTGGAGAAGCAGACATGAGTACTGACAAAGAAGCTAAGGAATGTACTGCTGTGGAGCGGGGCAGCAGTAAAACATATTTTAGCCATGTAAAAACCTTAAATTAATAGCCCGGCTATAATTGGCTTAAATCACTGAAATCAACAAGCCTATATTTGAGACAGGCCTTTAATTCATTTTACACAAAACTGTTGCTCAGCAAAGATGGAAAATACATCACATTATTTATATAAACCAGTATGAATATTACCTGTATATAAATTAGGCTTCAAATAACATAGCAATCATGAACCATGCATTTGATCTAACTGACAGACAGGGACAGATGTGTCATTGTGCCAAACTTTGGATTTTAATAATTACTTTAAATTTATCATATTGACCATGAAATCATCTCTGGTAAATAAAATTAAAAAATAAAATTAAAAACACACATTTGTTGGTTATATTTGCGTCACATCTGGGGATGTATGCTCATTGGTCCGCTCCTTGACCTTTGACCGATTGGTTCGATTCGTTGCCGTTAAGTTAAGAAAAAGCACTGTCAGTTAGCAAGACGGTGCTAGCATTTTTCACGGTGAGAGTAAGCTGTTATTGGACTAAAATAACACCACGAACGGAGAATGGATATAAGAAAGACATTAAAATCATTACAAGTATAAGAAAGAGGCAGCAAATGCGCGCGGCCCCAGCACCGCTGCCTATGAAGCTAGCAAGCTAGCAACGCACCTGCTAGCCTAAATGCTACCTGTGGAAGAAGCTCGCCTGGGGCTATAGTGGAAGAGGTAGGGGACTCATTTTACACTCTGAAAGTAGGACTCGTGACCCCACAGGATGTGAGAATATATGATTGTCATTATATTTGTAAATGAGTCTAATGAGGTCAGAGAGCGTCTGCTAACCATAGCAACCACTGTTTAAGGTGACGTACGTAAATGGAACTGGACTGGACACATCAAAGATTAGCCAGGTATTTGATGGAGCTGCTTTGGTGTGTGGGAAACATGGTGGCGTCCAGAAGCTCGGTCCTAACATACCTCATGTACACTGTCTGAGCCACTAGCTACACTTGG